TAAGATGATTCCGATGGTTCTCTGATTCTGAGTGCCTGGTTTTGCAGCAGTAACCATTTGGGGTTTTTCTTAGTTGGTTGGCGGTTGATTTGGTTTGGTTTTCTGACCACATGCTTTGTCAGGCAGTTGCCATGTGCGTTATGGTAGTCACTGTAGCTTGGCATGGTGATTGCTGGTGGTGGGTGGTAGAGTCAGCCCTCTGGGGTCAATCTGAGCAGTGGAGTTACGGGTACCATCAACTTGGGTGGAAACTGGTCAGTTTTTTCAAACTGAATCCAACCCATGGTATTTCCAGGCCACCAAGCCAGCCTATCTTCAGAGCATTGCTGGTCACCCCACTATGTGCAACAGCAGCACCAAGAAGACCAGCGCCAGTCCTTGAGATGGTAACCTGGGGAGAGTGCCATTCTCTCTCATTCCACCTTTCACGCAGGTAGCGTGACTTGCTTACTGGTTTGACTGCCAGCAGTTTCCCAGGCCTGTTTGTTCTTTGAGACACTTCATATAGGATCTGTGGAACCTGGAGTGGAAGCTACCGCTTGCTTAGACAGCATCCATTTCCAGTGGTATTTGCACCAGGAAAATGCTTTGGCTACAGGCCAGAAGGTACCATGAAGAGCAGTTTCTGTCCACCCTCACAGTGAAAACCCGGGCACACTGTAGTGATGCTCCAGTACCTTTGAGCTGCCAGTGGCAGCCTGGTCCTGCTCCCCTTCATCCTGCACGCGTGGCTGTGCTCACACACATGTGCATGCACACCAGGAAGAAGTGCATGGGCCTTAGTAGCATGTGGGACTGGCATGCTTATCTTACTTTCCTTTTCCCTGAAATAGAAGGTGAAAGAGTTTTAAAAAATGGATTGTACCTCTCAACTTTAAATCTTTAAAAATTGCTCCTTACTGAGAGTTTAATAGTTTTTTAAATGTAAACTCAGGAAAATATTTACTTTTCAAGCATGAATATCCTTCTGCTTTCTCACATCACTGAAAGTGTATTATTCTTTTCAGTCCATTGAATTCCAGGGATCACTCATGTTAAAAGTCAATGCAGTTTCCAGTGTCAGAAGATGCAAGGTTTTGTGTTTATGGTTGGAATCCCTTCTTGCTTCTTTTCCTGTGTGATATTAGCTGAAATTTTTTCAGATTCATATAGCTCAAAAGTATTCAGGTGTTTTCCCAAGGGTTGAAGGTAATTAGATCAAGGAATGGTCTTTAAAAACTGTCGGAGACCCAATTCTGGTACTGTTATTTACACAGATAAGGGCTGTGTAACAACAGTGGGAGGATCAGCTGCAAGCCTCAAACAGATGAAACTCATAGACTTAAATCAAAAAGAACATGGGTTTTGTTTCTTTGAACTTGGAACTTCTACATTTTATTGCTGTGTGATTAAAACAGTGGAACAGAATTGCTCATTTCCTTTTTGCTGCCTTTTTATAGCTACAAGTTCCAATCTGAGTATCTTGCACATATTACCAGTACTGCACCTACTCACTGCTCTCTGCTTGACTTCGGTGACTCCTGCTGACTGCAGTAGAAGTCTATCCGAGTAGGCAGTGCAGGTTTGGATACAGGAGTAGCACTCTCATCTGCTAGAGATAAAATCTCAGTAGTGCTGGGTTGTTTTTAAAATCTGTGTGGCTGTTGTTACATTCCCCTGTGCACATTCAGAGACCAGCATATATAGCCCAAACTGCCTTACCATCAAAACTGCGACCAATTTGAAAGTCAGTGGAAAAACAACCCATGTTACTTAGATCAGTGCTCCAGACCCTGAGGCCATTTGTGAGACCAACCAGTTGGTGACTGGAACTGTTCCCCCATGTAATGACACTTTCCCTTTGAAGTTTGATCAGGATGTGTGATGCCCCATGAGAAATGTTGGAAGTCTGGTGGAGCTCCACTGGTCCAAAAGGCTTAGGAGACACCACTTGAGGTGCTAAGAAACAGGTGTGGGTGTCTGCCTACCAAAAAAGTTGCTCTCTATGTCATTTCCCAGCTTTATAGTAAACTAATGTAGAGTTGCTGGGGAGATAGATCATAAACATGAAGTGGCACTTTTGCTGTGGTAGGGTTTTAACATCCATGCTGTAGCATGTTGGGTGAGCTTTCTGTTGGATTCTTTGCATTTAGGAAAAAAACTTTCTGTAAGTTTGTCACAGAGATTTATAGATCTCAGTATTTAAAAATGGGCCTTTCCATCACTCCAGACACATGCACACTAAAAATATTAACAAATCCTTTAAATAAGCCTCTTGCCCATTTGGCTGCTCAGGAGTAAACAAAAAAATATCCCTTTTCATCCGCAATCGCTTCCTTCATTCTTCTGCCCCAGAGCATGGGAATACAGAGATTCTTTACCACATGTCCTAAATCTTAACACACTGGGCTTTGCTAAGTCAGAGCAGAACGAGGTTTCAGAGTCAGAAAGCTGAGCCAACCAGCCCTGTTGAAGCCAACTACTGTTTGTTTACTACGTAATGTAAAGGTACCTCATAGAG